GAATTAATCGAGGGAGGGTAATTATTAGAGTTTTGGCATTTGAACGTGCAGTAGGGTATTTGGTGGTGGGGAATTATTGTTTCAACCCAACTCTAGCATGAAGAATTAATCGTGAGGGGGAATTGTTCGAGGGAGGGGAATTAATAGAGAAAATACGGTATATTCTAAGACAGAATTAATTAACGTACGTATTTCCTCTAAAAGAATTTCTCCTCTAATAGAATGCCTCCCCCCCCCCATTTTTATTAATGAAAATACATACATACATTTAAATAAAGAATATACATATAAATAATAACATTTAATAATTTTAGTTAAAAATAAAATTAATTAATTAAAAATAGCTAGCCAGAGAAGACATTTAAGAAAGAATATTTTTACCAAGAAAGAATATTTAAATCAATGCTATTATTTAAATCATGTGTCTAATAAATTAAAAATGCCTAGCCGCCATATCGAAATTTCGATATTAGATTTCCCTGTTTTTTTTCTTTTGATTTGCAATTTCAAAATTTTGAAAACTTTGAATTTTGCGCTAGTAAACAAGGTAAAAATTTTTAACTTTAGTACTGTATACTGAAAAAAAACGGTCAGAAATTTTTAATTTCCGAACACTAGTTTTTTTCAATTTCTTTCAATTTAATTTCAAAATCCTTATCATCATCTTCTTCAATCATTTTAATAAACTCTTCTTCTTCAATCTCAATTTTATGTGTTAATTTACATAATTTAATATCTTCTAAATAATTAATTTCAATATTTATTACTCTTTTTCTTTGATTTTTTTGTATTTTTATTTTTTTAAATTCGTTTGGCAGATTCTTTTCAATATAGAATTTATTCGAATTATAATCAAGAATATAATTTTCGAGTATTGTAGCTCCATATCTTCCTTTTGGCTTATAGAATTTTGTAATTCTTTTTAATTCTACTCCCGTCAAAAGTAATGGCTTTTCATTCAAATAAACATAAAATATTTTGGCTGAAAATATTTATTACAATCGAACCTCAATTATAGTTTACCCTTGGGGCTCAAAGAATTGTAGATCTTTATGAGTGTATGTATGTAAAGTTAATGTAGCAAAACAGAGAATGTGCCCTGGAATTTTGGGATTTGATGGTTGAAGGGATCTGGGAAGGAATCTTCTTTTGAAGTAAAAATCTGGCATAATCTTGTATACCAGATTAGACTATACATTTTTTGACAAAATAATAAAAATAACCTAAATTTTTCGTTGAGTTTTTGCTTTTTATTTTATTAAGATCCGTTTTAATAGTTTTGAATTTTATGCCATTTACTCTGTACTCAGTTCTCTTGTTCTTTTATTTAAAATTAAAATTAAGTACAATTAATTTTCGTCAAATCAAGGGGTACTGTGTCGAAATTCATAAATTTAAACCTTTATACCGATCAGTAATGTGAGTTCATACTTATACAAATTTTCAGACTTGAGGATTTTTTACAGATCCGAAGCCGAAGCTTTAGATCAGTGATTTCTATTAATTAGCGCCGTAGTCTAAAGTTTTTAGCATTTTGGAAAAATCTTTAATTGAAACAATGCATTGAAAATCATCGGAAACCGGCAATTTAAAGTTCGGAAATCGGAAATACAAATCTGAAGAAAAAGTCGAAAACGGAATACCGACCGACCTCTGCGGAGCAGAGGTCGGTCAATTTTTAGAATAAATTTTATCGTCTGTCGCAACTTCCTATATACATAAATGAAGGCGTAGTACTTACATTGATAATTCTCTGAAAATTTTTGAATTAAATAATTTTTAAAAATAAAAACTTACACGAATCTGCCTTTCTTCAAATCAAATTCTTTAGATAATTCAGTAATATCGTCATCAGTATATGGCAGACCATAACCAAATTTTTCTAATTTTATTTCCTAAAATTTTCTTTTAATTTTAAAATAAATATTTAATAAAAACAAACATATTTTCTCAATTCAATTAACTTTCCTCCTGTTAATTATTTTATTTTAAAAAAATTTAAAAAAACATAATTCTATTAATAACTATACAGTGCTGGACAAAATTTTTCTTATCAACCAAAATTTTTTTTATTTTCGGAGAAATATTTTTTTCTTTGATTTAAAAATTTTTTCTTAATTAATATTTTCAAATGAAAATTTTAAAAATGTGAATTTTTACGATTTTATTATGGCACTAAAATTTTGAACGGAAAATAGAAAATATTCAGCACTTTTGCTTTTTTGCCCCATATGTCGATTTTTTTACAACCTAGTTTTCATTTTTGTCACCTATTTAGGTACCTATTTTTAAATTTTTACAACCTAAAACCCGATTCCTTATCATATACATATGTATATGATTGATGGAATTTTTATAGATTTTTCTTAATGTTAGAAGTACGAAAACAGTGTACGGCTATAAGTACTTTTGTCCGCACTGCATTAGGTATTATAAAAAACATTTCACTACTACATAAATATTTATTTTTTAGAATTAAATTAACCTTCAATTTTAATCTTTTCCTTTAAATTATCAATTTGTTTTTTAATTTTTATTTTTTCATCTTCATTATCCAATATTTTAATATATTTTCCCAATATTTCAATTTTATATGCAATTAAATTAATTAAATCCCAATAATTATTTTGTAATTTTTCTTTGTAATATTTTATTTTTTCTTTTACTGGTTTTATTTTTAATTTATAATTTTCCATATATTTTTCTAAAATAGAGACTTGACTTTTATATCTTAGTACCCTTCTTTTAGTCATCTTAAATTATAATTTTTTATTTTTTTTTAATTCTTAATGATTTTTATTTTTTAATTAGGTAATTTCTACGTAACAAGTTATCGGGGAATTTGAGGAGATATTGAGGAGATTACGAGGAGTATTGAGAGATTTAGAGGGATATCGTAGGTCCCCTGATATCCTCTTTAACTCCACGAATTAAGGGGATTTGAAGTGACATAGCTATTAGAGGGGGGGGGTTAAGAGACAACTCTATTTATTATTTTTTATCCACCTTCCAATCCAGGACAGCTTGGAAGAAAAAAGCCGGACACTGGGCCCGTCAATCCGAGAAACAAAAAAATACAAACAGCATTACTTGGACAAAAAGACCCCACCAAGTGAAAAATGCAATTTTTCACTTTGGGCAGTCTAAGCTTTGGAAGGACGAAATTTTGGTAAGACTAAGTTTTGTCTGGCCGAAGTATTGCCCTGACAAGGTTTCGACTTGTGCTTTACTGGGTATTTAACATTTGTAGCTCCAATCAAAATATGTACTTTTTATATAAAACTAAAAAATATTTAAGCACCTGTTTTGGTAAATAAATAATTAACTCATCGACAATGTTATTTTTAGTTATTTCTATTTCTGGAGAATATTTAAACATATTTCTAGTTATTGAATAATAATTTACATCCTCTATTGTATTTAAATATTTTGCAATAAAATTTTTAAAAGAAAAACGTTCTTCGGGATTTTTATTTTTTAAATAATTATATTTTCGTGTTTTTAACCAATCTGAATTAATTTCTAATTTGATTGTTCCACCATTAGCCAACTTGTTAGAATTTACAAAATAAATTATAAATAAAAGAAAAAATATATAAATAATATTCATTTTATTTAACTAAATTAATATTTTTTATTTAAAAATTATTATTTAAAAATTGCCCGACAGTTATGTGTACATATTTTCGAAATACTTGCCATCGTTTATAATTGGGCGTCGAATGAATTAAGAATGTCATGCCACATACTATGCACTTTATTAAAAACAAGTGCGGTTTCCTTTTATATTTTTTGGCATTATCAATTGAATTTGTACTATACTATATATTTTGTAATATATTGTGTTTTGTAACTACATACATATATAAGGTTGGCGGTTCCTGATAAATCTTCGGTTATCCGGAACCGATAACCACCAAAAATTTTCGATTATCCGGTCTTTTTTCGGTCCCGGATAACCGGAACCGCCAACCTTATTTGTAAACTATGTAGATATTACGCCTTACAATAAATGTCGGAAAATTTTATTTCAAAAATAATTTTTAACAAAAAATAAGAGGCAGAGGAGCAATAACCTTATTTTCTCGAATAATCTCCAATCCCTGGGATCAGTTGAAATAGTCGGATCTTGTTTATATGTCACTAACATACAAATAGGATGATGTCTAAACAAGTGAGGACCTTGACCAGATTCTCGACCTTGAGTCAAGGAAAATTTAAGGGAAAAATCTCTAAAATTTACCCAGATAAATTAAATCAAATTACGAAAAGCATTTTTATCCATGTTTTACCAATAAATAATATATAGAAAGTTTTATAAAATTTGTGAGTACGCGTAAATAAGAAAGTAAAGAGCACCATAAATTTTTGAAGTGACTAAACCAATATTTTTATAAAAAAAGGGAGAATATTTTAAAATATACTTTTTAAATCAAAGTAAATAACCTAACAAAGCCCTAGATATCTATGTATTTCTCAATATTTCACAATAGCTATTGTTAGGGACAGGGCTTTTATTAGGATATTTACGGTATATAAAACTGGCCAATCCACTACATATGTAGCAAGGGCGAATCCAGGGGGAGCTGATGGAGTTGGAGCCTCTCCACATAAAATGGGGAAAAGAAAAATGGTAAGAAAATTATCAAAAAAGTGAAATGAACATGGGCAAAAGGATCAAGGGCGTAGCCAGGGGGACGATTTCAGGAGGGTTAAAATGGGGTTTGATAAAAAAATTTTGGAAACGCCAGATCTGAATTTTTTTTGGATGCACCCTTGCTATGTAGTAAATATTGAAGTGAATAAAAGAAAAAAATGAGCAAAAAAGAATGATCTAAATAAATAATTTATGAAAGGCGCCCTAAAGTTTTTTTGGTGATTCACATTTTATATTTAATAAAAGGAAGACTTAGAACCCTCAGAACCCGCAATTAAAATTTGATAATTTAGAAGTTAAAGTGACTAGAACAGTAAAAATCACAGAAAATAAAATTAATGCAGATATAGATTTTTTAGTTGCAGAAGACGGGACCTTAAAATAAAAAATATTAAAATTATTATTTTATTTTACCTCAGAAATACAAGCTTCTAATTCTTCCAAATTAAGATTTTCAATAACACAAATATAAATTTTTCTAAAAAATTAAAAGATTAATAAAGAAATTAATTTTAAAATTTTTAAATTCAAGTAACCAGAAATTAAACCCTCTCTGAAAATGAACTTTACAAACTGCTTTTCTTTTATAGAAAAGCTAATTAACAGCCCGGACGGCATTTGTAGTTTAACAAAAAAGATTAATGCGTGTCCTTGGCAGACCTAATAAATGATAACATTCTTGAGAGCAGATCGTGACTATAAACGGGATCTACTCAATTTTCACAATTTAATTATTAATTTAAAAAATTTATTCAAAAACCTGTCGATATTTGCATTATCTTCCTTTCCATTCATCACTCTATTATAACGAGTATACAAATTAAAAAGTGTATCATTTTTTGCGAATCGCTCTGCCAAATTATTCATTTCATTTGCATCAAAAGTTTTAAGCCCGTAAACTTCACTCATTGAATATTCCAAAACTGTTTTTACTTTATTAGAACCTTTTTGGTTTAATTCATCCAAATTAACATAAAAAGTTCTTTTAAAAATTAATTTAAATATTTTTTTTTTATTTTACGGCTATAACAGGATTAAAATTTAACAATCGATTCATCTCGTCAATGAATCGATTATTCGATTTATCTCATAAATTATCCTAAAAGACAAAAACTTGCAAAGAAATAGGCACGTGAAAATTTAAGAATTATAGGGTGACCAATTTTATATTTGGAGTAAAAATTTCGCCTATAATAAATGATAGTCGATTTAGTAGAACCCGTCAAGCTGACCAGCTCGACGAGAGGAAACGATTGGTATACCTATATTTTAAATCCTGTTCTTAAGTCCTTTACAGGGATGGGACGGGTTAAAAAATCGGATCGAGTTTTCGAAAATTTCTCGGGCCGGGTTTCGTGTCGAAAAAAGTCCGGGTTTCGGGTAACCTGTCCTATCCCTCGTCCAGTGTACTATAGAGACTTATTAACAGTAAAAATTTCAAAAAAAAACCTAATATCTTTAATATCAAAATTATTCTTGTCATAATCAAAAACACGAAAAGCTGGATTGTTTAAATCAAACATCGGAGTTATAGCCGGATTTAAAAACATTCGTTGTACTGGCTTTCCATTTGAATCCTTTTAAAAAATTAATTATTTTGGTTAGCTAATAATAAAAGTTATTTTTGATACGCCCCGTGTAAATCAAAACTTTGTACCTTTTTTAGTGTTAATGGATCATCAATTTATTATAGAAAATTTTCGATCTTTTTAACTATTGATGTGAAACTAAAAAGTTTTGGGGCTTCAAAGTTTACGAAAATTGGTGGATAAAACAAAATTGAAAGGTCGTTTACCTAAACAGTCGTTTATATCCACCTATTGTCTCCCAAAATAATTTTAAAAAAACCTTCAAAATTCTAAAAGTATCAGTATGTAAATGTCCAAACAACATAAACCCAATAGAATCTGCATATTCTGTAAACAAGTCAATTAACCGTTTATTGTACTGTTTTGGCATTTCAACTTGCCATTCTGTCTTGTCAGAATTGAAAACATACCCTTCAAAAAATGTTTAGTTTGATTAGAATTTTTAATTAACGCACGAATACTACCCCCTGGCGGAACGTGCCCAACAATATTTATTTTTCCATTTTTTGATTTAATTTCAGCCAAATGTTTCTCGATAAATTCAAATTGGCCAGTTGGGTCTTCTGGGTTTGTAAAATTTTCAATTGCAGTATTTATTACATAATAAATATTTGTGTTTAAAACTAAATATTCAGATCCGTCCAATGGAGATTTAAAATAATAATATCCACCACGCAAAAAAGTTTCCTTAAAAATTAGATTTTAAGTAAAAATAGTTTATCTACATATTAAAATTCGGTGCCATAATAAATTGATAAAAATTAGTAGTGGTCATAAACGAATTTTCCACATTTTGCCTTCACAAACATAAAAGGGAGGGAGGACCAATGGATTCAGTCCAGTTGTCACCTAATCAAGTCGTCCAGGTCTGCTGATTTATATTTATTTGGTGCTAATTAAATTTTACAAGGATGTTCTTTTCTAGAGAGCGGGCTGGATCTGGATCCAGACCTTGATTTCTCCTGGATCCAGAGTCCAGATCAAGGTATTTTTCAGAGTTCCTTGTTTTTCTTTGACTCAAGGTCAAGAATCTGGTCAAGGTACCTAACCGAAATTAAGGTCAAGGTTTTTTGAAAATCTGCTCTCTAGTCTTTTCCTTTCAGTTGGACGATCTGGCTCCGCAGTTAGGTTCGCCCATTTGGTTCGCGGGTAGAGTATGAGAGTTACAAAAATGTTACAATGAATATTTTTTAATTTGATTAAAAACCTTAGGTTTATCACCAATCCATCCCTTCCAAAGATCATAAATTCCTTGATACATCCCTAATTGTTCTGCATCATCGGGAAATGAATTAGAAGGTTCCATATCATGATTACCCAAAATTGGGATGACTAAGACATCAGAAAATCGTTGTTTTATAGAATCGGTAACGGTCCTCATTGTATTAATAAATTCTAAAAATGAGGAAAAATTTTTAATTTCCTAGTTTTTAAAACCTTTTTGTGTATATTTTATATGAGCCGCAGTGTCGCCAGTCCATATAATAAAATCAGGTTTTGGAATATGCCTCTTTGCCTCATCCAACATATAATCAACTAATGCCTGGAATTTTAATAAAAAAATTTTGTAAAGTTTAAATATCAATTTTTTGATTGGGAAAAAAATTTTTATCTAACAAACTGAATCAGTCCTCTTGGTCAGGCTCTAGTTAGGAAAAATGAAAAAACTAGTCAACAGTAACAGGAAAGCTTTCTCCACGTTTAGAACGGAACGGACTAGTCATGGAACGACAAATCACGGAATGAACAAAACACGGAATAATTTAAAAATACATAGGAATTTTTTGAAAAATCTGAATATTTTTAAAAAATAAGATTTTTTTAACAATTAGAATATTTTAAAAAACAGAATTAAAAAAAAATTTTTTTTTAATTCAGATTTCTAAGAATATTACGATTTTAAAATATTCCGTGTTTTGGTCATTCCGTGACTTGTTGTTCCATGACCTGTCTGTTCCGTGAGTTGGAACTCCTCGAGTTGCCCCCTCCCGTTTAGAAAACACTCGGAAAAATTTCGGAATACTAAACAGAAAGCAAATGGGTCAAACTATATGTCATTCGAAAGAGCTCGTCGAGTTGAGTCGAATGGTGAAAAAATTTTCGTGCGGACTCATACAGGGGCTGAGATATAGGCCCCCGAAAATCGAAAAACCATAGGGGGGACTAAGCACTTTTTTGGGGGTAAAAAATTCGAATATGCAAATAGTAGCTCATTCGAAAGAGCTTTTCGAGCTGAGTCGAATGACACCAAAATCATCTTGATTGTACAAGTTTGGACAAAGTTACGATAGAAAAACTATAACCTAAACCTATGGAGCGTCGGCGAGGCGCTTGTGCAAAACCCCGCGCTTCGCGCGGGGTTTTGCGGCACGCGCCTCGCGGGGAGTCTACGGGCGCTGGGTCTGGGCTCGTAACATAAACCTATTCCTATCCCCCTTGCTCTGGACGTACTTGGGGCCTCTGTAGCAGCAAAAATCTCCACAGATGCCATAGGTAAGGAGCTAAAATAAAAGATCATAACTTTGTCCAATCAAGTCGGATTTCGTTGATTTTGGTGCCATTCGACTCAGCTCGACGAGCTCTTTCGAATGAGGTATAACTTGCATTTTCGAATTTTTTACCCCAAAAAAGCGCTTGGTCCCCCCTATGGTTTTTCGATTTTCGGGGGCCTATATCTCAGCCTCTGTATGAGTCCGCACGAAAATTTTTTCACCATTCGACTCAACTCGACGAGCTCTTTCGAATGACATATAGTTTGACCCATTTGCGTTCTGTTTAGTATTCCGAAATTATACCAAACACTCAAGCGAGCAATCCAAAAAAGTTTTTTTTCTAATATAAAAATATAAACCGGTGGAGAGTCACATTTGCGATCACCATATGCCCCAATAGCATCCTTTCCTCCTGCGTCTCTGGCCTCTTTTGGTGTTTGATTTTCACTATTTTCATCTAAATGACACATTTCTGATCTATTCCCATTTTTGTTATATTTTTCATCAATGTGAATATCAGTTATAACAAGAAAATTTCCATTTTGATTGGAATTGGAAGCAGCAAAAGAAAATAGGAATAATAAAATTGAAAGAAGAAAATAATTCATAAAGGGAACCAGAAGACGCAAGTAGCCTTTAAAGAGTTCAAAAATTATAAAATAATTAATACAGTAAAGTGAAAAAATAATTATTAAATTAATATTAAGGTCAGGCTGTGCGCCATAAATTTCTCATGTGCGCAAAAACGCAAACGCAAACATAGGGAACGCTTAAGAGAAGACGATTCAGTGTCTCAATTCAGAGTAGCCGGTGTAGTGCTAGGAATTTTGAAAAAACCTAAACTGGAAATTAATTGGAAGGAGACCGGGAAGGACCCAGGAACAGGGATTTCTCAGTTTCAATTTTTCCCTGCCCAAAAATGATCCGAATCCTACAGGGAAATTTAGTATGAGATAGGAAAGTAGTGAAGAACTCCGTTCATTAGTAAAACCAAGACTACACCCCAAGTCGCGAGACCATGCCTAGGATTTTATCCCAAAACAAGACCAGTGCTGAATATGGGACTTTTTGAGGCACTGGCTTTGACTACTCCAAAACCCTTGCTCAGGCTCATGTCAGTGATCAATCTTATAATTGTAAAACATATGTAAAGCATTTATTTCCTAAGACTGTGAAGTAGGCAACGTGGTGTAATAGATAACTCATCATCTTCTACTGAACATGATGGTTTGCTCCTAGCCACCGAATAACCTTTTGCACTAGCTGAAGGAGAGAAATAGCTATAGCCCAGCTGCTTTACTTAATGGATGAGAGATCAGAAGCTTTATTTCCTAAATATTGAGATTTGCTACATACATTTTTGCGAATAGAAAATAAAAAATAAATGAAGTTTATTTCTAATTATAAAACTTTTAAATGAATGAGTTTAATAAGCTAAAAATAAATTCTATTCAAACAAAAAAATTTAATATTGCTTTAATTTTAAATGACACACTCATATGATTAAAATCAATTAATCGACATCATCCACGTTTAGTTTTGGGGTATTACACGTAGTTAGTATTTAAATGTATTAACTGATTGTGTGTTAGAAACAACATAAAATTGGTAAAAATGTTAAGCGTTGGTCTATAGGGTAGAATGAAAAGTTAAAGAGATTATAAAATAAAATGTTTTATGTGAACAAGTACATACATACATATATTATTGTTTAGCAAATAGTTTCGAAATTTTTTATCAATATATTGATAGTCTAAGAGAATGTTAATAAAGAAATATTTTATAAACGTGTCAAAATTCACTAAATAATAAAACAAAGCAAAAAATTTTATATTTGTGGACATCTATAATTTTCAAAATAAAGAAAAGTCGCTGCTTTATTCTTTGATTTTTTTCAATTTCTTTCGATTTTTGGCTGATTTTTCTTTCGATTTTTAAACTTTAACAATTTTTATGCATAAGTTGTCTTATCATTTTTTAAAGAATTTATGAGTAAGAAAAATATTAAAAGAATGCTGGAAATTCTTCAAAAATGTTATTTTAAAAATTAGCCGAATATATTATTGTTTAATGAGTTATTTTTAGATTTATTTTTATGAGAAAAGATAAAGCTAATTCTATTAATTTCTAAATTTGTATTTTTGGTTAATAAAAATACACAAAAAATATTTTTCTATAAATATTTTTTTTATTTTCAAGAATTTTGTTCTCCTTCCAAATAATTCCTTTAGACAAATTAGATTTGTTTGAACACAAATATTTTCGTTTATTCCTACCAAGGAGTTCTCAGCTGGCATTTTTCTTCCATTTTTTGGTTTTAAATATGTACATTTGTCTTTTTAATATTAAATTTCTTTTTATGTTTCAAAAGATTCTCCTCTAGTATATTTTAGAGAGAACATGGATTCTTCATGATTACATACTAAATATTAAAAAATAAATTTTTTATCATATTTTTAACAAATTTTATTTTTTATTTATCCATTTATTTATTTACATATTTAACCAAAAAACCAAAAATTTGTCTACTTTTTAACGCTCCAATTTCCATTTATTTTCATAACAAGTTAAAAGCACTTATAAAATTTTTTTATAAAAATTGTAAAGATTTATTTGTCAATTTATATTTTGTTAAAACCAAATTTACATAAATTATTGTTGACAATACTTTTTTTTATTTTTTAAAATAAAATTTTATTTAGTTAAATATATTGTTTCCTTTTATTTTCAAAAAATAAGATTTATAGACAAATAAATAATTAATTAAACAAACATTTTATTTTATTAACTTTTGAGAAATTAAATGATTGATAACAAGTATTCTTGTAAATATTAGGAGACTTTGCCTGGAACTAAAATTAATTTTAGTCAAATAAATTTTAGTTTTTGGGGAAAGTCTCTCCTAAAATTAAAAAAATTGTCTGGGTATAATAAATATACCGTGTAATCTGTATTAATTGTCTTCCCTCAAATAATTACTCCACTTTCATTAACTACCCCATCCAGCGATAGATTGAAACAATAATTACCTCTCAACAAATGCCATAAAACAGTTCAAATGTCAGACCTCGTATAATTACCCTCCCTCAATTAATTACTCCCTTTAGCGGAAGGTCGAAACAATAATTACCTAGGGTAAGTTATTAAAGGATACTAGAGCTGCCTTGAACTTTCGATTTGCAAATGTTATTCCTTTTCAATTCCAAATAATTCTTGTTTATTTTCTTTTAAATGTTAAAAATAAAGAAACTAAATATGAAAAACTTATTTATGTATGTAAATAAAAGAAATAAAAAAAATTCTCATGTACATAATTAGGTAAAATTTGGTAGTTATGGGGTTTTTTACAGAATGTTTTTTCTGTACTTATTGTAGATACATATACCTACGTATTTCTTTAAATAAAAAATTTATTTTACGTCTATAATAAATTATACATATTTTTAATAAATTGATATTTTAAGTTTTAAGAAAAATTTTACTTAAAATTATTTCCCTATTTACAAAAAAGGTATTTAGTTAATAATCGGACTGGAAGTGTCGTACAAGAATCGAGATCTCGAAAAATTCTCGATCTCGATAACTTGAGATTTTCAATCGAGATCTCGTCTCGGTCATTTCTTAAGTCTCAAAATAACTCTTCAAATTTAATTTTTGATATAATTGGCTAAAATAAACAAATTCTTCTCTAAATTTACTCTTTTTTAATTCGGTTATTTGCTTAAAGATTAAAAACAGCATTAATCATTTCTTCAAAAATCTTTTTATTTAATTTTGTTGCGCTATTTTAATACATTACAGTTTTTGCTAATTTCTGATCTTTGAACATTTTCTATGTTTCCAATAAAATATTTTATATTTTTTATTAAAATATTTTTAAACATAAACTAGCCGAACTAATATTCATTCACAATTAAGTTAATAAGCCATCTTTTGGGGGATTAATTTGTATAATAGTTAAAGTAAGGCAGCCGACCCCATCCCAGAAAATATCAATTATTGAATGGAACTTGATTCTGAGTACTCTCCGATCTATTGTTAACCGTTCAACTATCTTACCACCTTGCTGATCGTTTTTTATTTTATCGAAATTTTAATAGTAAAATAGTTATACTATGAAATATTTTAAATTTTTCTTAGAAATTTAAACTTTTCTTAAATTTCTTAGCATTATTAAATAATATAAAGTTGCCCAAATAGTTAATAAAACAACAACAAACTATTTAAAAGTTGAATCATGACAACTACTCGTTTTAGACAAACAAATGAAGGTAATAAATTTTAAATTTGTCGAATATTTAGTTTTGAACGAATCATAAAAGAATTTCGTTAGGAAATCAAAATCGAGTAGAGGTTCTGGACAAGATTCCAAGTTTTTCTGGTTCCCATTTTTGGTTTAATTCCATTTTAAGCCAGAATATATGCAGACTAGACTAGACCAGGAAAATTTTCAAATATTATCAAGTCCCTTTAATTTTTTATTTAAAAAAATTGAAGGATTTTTTTATTAAAAATAGAAAGGAAATATACTAAAGAGGAGAATAAAATTAAAAAACTTTTTTCTCACAGATTATCGCAACGCTTTCTCCTATTTTGATGTAAATAAAGATGGGCACATTACTGCTCATGAATTGGAAACAGCAATGAATAAATGTGGAGTTTATCCAACAAAATTAGAATTGCGGATTATTATGAATCAGATGGATAAAGATAGTTAGTTTTTAAAGAAAATTAAAGATTTTCCAAAAAAAATTAATTTCTTAGAGAATGGACTAATAACTTTTGACGAATTTGCTGCAATGATGCGTATACAAGAAAAAGCACAAATTTCACACAGAATACAATGTCAAAAACGAATAATTAATTTGTCAAATGAACAACCAGAAATACGGCAAGAATTGCTTGCTCAATTTCGTCTTTTCGATAAAGTAAAAGATTCGATTAAGTTTTAAAAAATTTTGTTTCTATTAAAAGGACAACGATGGGTTTATTTTACCTGAAGAAATGAAGAAATTGATAAGTGAACTTCGATTGGGAAAGAACTTTCCGGAAAGTGTTGTGGATCAGGTAATGAATTTGATTAGAGAGAAAAGTTACTTTGAAAATTATATTAAATCGGAAGATATGGATTAAGTTACTAAAATTAGCAGAAAACACGGAAAATTTAGTTTGGCTAAAGAGTCGGAAATCCCGACAAAATTGAATATTTGTAATTTATTTCTAGAAATTAATTTTATTTTTTAGTTATTCTTGGAGGCAGACGCAGATGGTGATGGAAAGATAAGCTTTGAAGGTAAATTTTTATTCGAGAAAATTACTATTTAATATTTACTTAAGAATTCGTCATGGCAGTCGTTTGAAGAGGAAAAACGAAAATATATGTATAATAAAGATACTCATCAAATTATTAATTTCTATTAATATTAGGACAGCACTTCTTTTTATCCAATCCTTTTATTAAATCTTCTAAAATATGATTACAATAAATATAAAAATCCCTATCAATCCCCTTGTAAACGATAAAAACTTTTGTAATCATAGGGCATTGAGTTACCGTATTTACTCGATTAATTCCCCCCCCCCCCCTCCAATAATTCCCCCTACTACGGATAAGTTGAAACAATAATCCCCCTCCCCCAAATACCCTACTACACGATCAGATTTCAAAACTCAAATAATTCCCCACCCTTGAATAATTACCCATGCCACGGGTGGGTTAATCGAGTAGATACGGTATATGGTAATTCATACTTTTCCTGAATGGATACAAGTTTGTATGAAATGCGAAAAAAATAAATTTTTAAACTAGAAAGAAGAACATCTACATACATATTGTAATATTTCTTCGCATTTCAAAATTTTACTCATTTTATTTCTTCAATGTTGCTCTCTCCTCCTATATGTAATTTGGCATTTTTCCAATGTTTTATAAAAAATAAAAGCATTTTATTTAATAAAAACGCAAAAAAGAGCTGTTTTTTCACAGTTTTTTTCCAACTAAAAATATTTTTATATTAAAAAGGCTTATTTTTCTTGAATTCTTTGGGTACTTATTGGGAAATTCGAAAAATATGTAGTAGTAACAGGTGGGGACGCACACACACATACACTTACACAAATAATGAAATAAATCAATATAGAAGATGAAATTCGCTAGTTTTTTTACTTTTACTCCATTACAATTTAAATATTTTTAAATTAAATTCGAGATTAAGTAATTTTAATTTATGTTAAATTAAAATATTTAAGTTGTTTTTACTTAATTTTGACAAAAACATGTAGTAAATATTTCCTTTTCGAACCATAAAATTAAAAAAAAATTACTGACAGAAAGAAAAGAACCCTTAAGTTAATTAACCCCTTAATCAAGAACAGACCTCTCAATTTTATTAAAAAAAATTTTTTAAACCTACATATTTATTCTAGTATAGGGTTTAATTCCCAAGCCCCCCACACACATATCTTCAAACATAAATATTTAATAATATTTTTACTAAATTTCCCTAACAACTTTAATTTTTAAAATTTTCTTATTAATGGCCCCAACAAAACGTAAAGCAGATACTTTAGAAGATCGTCCATCTTCTTCAATTTCTAATATATCTTCCTCCTCAAAATCACCTACAGATAAACAGCAACAATCATCCTCTGCCCCCAAAAATAGTATTTATAAAAAACGAGGGCAGAGATTTGTGGTGGAAGATTCAACAAGTATGGAGAAGTCTGTATTCTAAATATTTACTTTAATGGGGGGAATTTCTCGAATCAAATTTAGCTATAATAATTATTAAAACCTTTACATTATAATGAAAAAATCGTTCTATTTTTGGGGAATGTAAATTTTCTTTTAAAAGATAAAAATCCTTCGGTTTTTCGCAATTTTTAATTTTCTATTTACAAAAATAATTTTCTGTAGTTTTCCCAAACAGATTTTCAGTACTACCTAGCCTTTTTATGTTAGTAAAAATCTGTCTCAATATATTTATTACACAGTTTTTCTTAATCAGATTTATACCATGTGCAATAATCAAGGAAGGCGAACTCGTTGATTTAGAGTTAGAAGGCAAGAAAAGTAAAATATATATTATAAAAATAGGACAAATTTTACGGCACAAAACGGACTCAAAAAAATTCGTGCTACTAATGAAATTGAATTTCTGGAATTAAAAATATTCATTGAAAAATTCCCTTAATTATTAAAAATTCCAGATAAAATTGTCCGTAGAATTTTGAAAGAAGCAAAGGGAAACATAACAATCTACATGAGGGAAGGCGATAATGATAAACGAATTGTACCGTTTTTCCGGGAAGCTTCTATTTTTAGCAATTTTCATCCAGTAACTTTTACTGTTGCTTCTCGTGAATTTTGTTGCAATGAACAATTCTTTCATTATTGCAAGGTCAATTAAACTTTCTTGAGATGTTGGGCGGATCGTGTTTGCGGGATCTCGCATGCAGGATTTTTTCTAAAAAATTTTTTTCGGGACGGGATCCCGTGGGATAAACCCCTCATTTCACAAGATTCCTTTTTCTAAATTTTCATCATCCCACGCGGGCTTTTTTTTATTCTCAAAAAATTCCCTTCATATATTTTATTAAAATTATTTCAAGGCAATCTCTTTCGGTGATCGAGCAATTGCAGAGAAAATAATGCAGACAAAATCCCCAAAATCTCAAAAATTTTTGGGAAGACGAGTAGAAGGATTTGATCCTTCTCAATGGGAGCCTATTTCTATTTTAGTAGGTTGACTGATTTGGAATAAAAAAATTTATTCTTTCAATAAAGGCAATGGTTATTGGATTGATGAGAAAATTTCAACAAAATCAGTCAATCCGCAAAGATTTATTAGCTACAGGGGATGCTGAGTTAATTGAAGCTAGTCCTTTTGATGCAAAATGGGGAGCTGGAATAGGAGCAAATCAAATAATTGCGGGGGAGGATTGGGAAGGAACTAACTTTTTGGGTAAGAATTTGTTTTACACTTGACAATTTTTGGCACTAATATGGAAATTAGAAGAAATCTTACGTTACTAAAATGGGAGGTTTTCTTAGAAGGAAGTAACTTCTACTTTCCATATGAGGGGTTGCCTCTTAAGCCAGAACATGAAAAATTTTAAAAACATTGATCTACATGGATCACTTATGGAGATTTGAATATACACGTGTCTACAAATTCTCTCCAATTACAGTCTCCTTTTCTATTTAAAATTTCTTCAAAATATTAAAAATTCCCAAATTATAAGCATTCTAAAAAATCAGACACAAAAAAAATATTTTTCTACTCAATTTTAGGCCGTACTTTAATGGCTGTTAGAAATCAATTACTTTCTCCAAACAAAGAAACCTCTGAAGCTCCACCAGTCAATTCTTTAAGTTCCTCTCCAATTACTGAATTTGCTACAAATAAAGAACTTTGTTTGGCTACTTCTCTTATTAATGATTTTGGAATTGTTTTGAAATGAAAAAAAGAAAATTTAAAGAAAAATTTAAATCAAATTATTTTAATTTAAAATGAACATTTTTATTAAATTATTAATCAAATTTTAATCTAATCTTTTTTATACAAATATATTTATTAAATAAATATAAAATAACTATGATTTTTTAAAATTTTATTTTAATAAATTACACAGTTGATGTAAGAGCCATCGGTAGCTAAAAAATAAATATTTATTTTAAAATAGGTACTTGGATTATCTGGAAATAAAAACTAGGAGTGGATATTCAGTCTCCATTTTTAAAAGAATATTAAAAGTTTCTACAAAAATTGAAGGAGGAATTGAGACCAGAGGTGGACGCAATTGAAAAATTTTTCCGCCGCAAAAAAAACTACGCAATTTGCGCAAGCCTAATAGAGACGGTTTTTCGAAAAATTAAAGGAGAGTTTTAACTAGATCTCGGCTTAATTCTATCCCTAACTAAAAAGAAATGAGAAAATTTAAAAAAGTTGGGAGAGAGAGAATTTTTAAATTTAATTATTTACTTGTTTTGGAGAAATTGATGATTTTAGGCTTCTCCTTTCTAAAGGTATTGGCAATTTTTGTTGATTAGAAATTTCATTATTTTTAAGTTGTTTTCCGGATGGGGGAGATTGAAATGTTTGAGAAGAAATGTTTTGCCGGGGAGGTTGATCATAAGAAATAACTATTTCAGAATTAATCCGGTATTGCCTTTCTGTCTATTAAGAAAATATTTTGTTATAAGAGAAGTATCTCGAACTTCATTATAATATAGCCCCTCCCCATTATTGGATTCTACCAAATTTTTAATTGATTTAAAACTAATTAAATCTTTAGTTGTTTGGGAAGAAAGCTGTATTTCCTTCCTGTTGACTACTGGAAGGACTCGATAAAAAATAATAGATTTTTCTGCACCGAGGGGTATTTTATAATGAAGGCCTGACTGTATTTAAAAACAACCTGAGAATCTAACGTTCCATCATTCGTCATTGGAGGAATGATTATATGCTTAAAATAGTATGGAAATTTTATTGTTGAGTTTTTGTTTAAATTTTAAATTCAATTTAAAAATTCCGCATTTTTTTAAACAAAAAGCGGTTCCAAAAATACAATAATAAATCTTTTAAATATAACTTGAGGTATCGAAATGCCTTGAGGTACTTCTAAAGTTTTTTGTGAAGGCCTCGTTTGGGATGAAATGCCTTCCATAGCCGATTCATTTCTTTTTCGTCTTCTAGGTAAAATCGGAGGTGCTAAACTTTGGGTTCTTTCTTTCGAATTTATATTAGTGTAATTATGTTCAGAAGTTGCCATTGGTGGCACAAAGCCGCTCCTAGGAATGGAAGAGTTTTAATTGTAAAACGCGTGATTAGAAGAAGTTAATGTTAGAAGTGGAATGCTTAAATGAACTAATTAATGAAGACAAACCAATAATCACTTTCATGATCAGACCAGTGTGTCTGTGGAGGTAAAGGCATAGGTGGACGATGCCTTAGCCTGTTTTGTGTTAGATTTCTGTCGAATCTATTATCATCTAAATTATCAGTAATTTCATGATGAGTTGCCAAGGAACAGAGAGAAGAGCTTGAATTTTTTCTATGCCTGGAAAGGTAAATTTATATTCTGGTACTGTTAAAGAATGGATTTATACATCCACTTAACTATTTATTTACCTCATTCCTGTAGAAATATCTGGATAACAACGGCGACATTGATAACGATAATTGTATCTTCGTCCATGCTCCCTGCCACAGTTTCTGCATGTTGATCTAAAAATTGTTTTTAAAATTAGTTTACTAAAAATGGGAAGATCAGCCTAAATACTCCTCCATCATCATTCCAGATGATAAATAAATATCAGTCTCAAACCATAGATTAAATGAATGAAAATTAACCTATATCGATGTGAAGAATTAGCCCTTCGGAATCTGTTAGGTGTCTCTCGGTAAAATTCATCAACATGACGATGGAAAGGCCGATCAATTGCAGATCTTGATCTTGGAACATCAAAGGGAGGAGAAAAACTGTCACGATATTGTGTTGGTGGAGCTAAATATTTTTTAAAGTTTTATAGAGTTGAATTATAATGTGTTAAATTATTAAATTATGATATATGTAGTCTTATACATATCTCTAACAAATTTATAAAATATAAATTTATTGCCTGAGGCTTCCTGAACGAATCTCTCCATTGGGGTTTTTTGCTTGTAAAATGGCTGTTTTGGTAGTTGTTGTGGGATTATTTGTTCTGTTGATGGTAAAGGTGGTACAGGAATTGTATGAGGGGGAGGAATGGATTTATGCCTCAAAGGAGGTTGTCCTGGAGGAGAGACTGCAGGGAATTGGCTGGCAGGGGGTCGTTGGATTCCTCCAAATCGTCTCTGTCCTTGTTGTACATGTGGTAAATCGATTCTTTTATCAGGATCAACAAAATCTTGAATGGGAATATTTTTCTTAGTAGAAGAATAAATGGTTGGTCAAAAAGATAAGTGGGGGAAGTTATTTGGAGGATTTTTAAAATTTATTTCTAATTAAAATACTGCCTTGATCAATCTGTCGGGGTATTTCTCGTTCCCTATTAAACCGTTGATATTTTCTCCTTCTGGCGTAATATTCGAGTTCTGCTTGCATTCGTTGGTGAAAAGCAACGACAACAACAAAGCAATAAATCTTTAATAAAACAAAGAAAATATTTTTCAATTATTTTTACTTAAAAATACAAACATTTAAGAAAACCCCAAACATTTCGATTATTGTTAACATTAACCAATAATCACGAACATCTCCAGCCCACCACATAATGCAATATGCAAGGGATGTAAGTATTGAGACACACATTGTAACCATCCATGGGACAAGTAGGAAACGAGACCACTAAGTAATTGAGGTATAAAGGATTTTTGGTGTTTTTTTTATTAATTTTTAAGATGTAGGTATCAGGGATGGGTCGGGTTGAGAAGAATTCGGGTCGAATTTCGGCTCGGGTCTCTCGTGTTTCGGGTAACCTGATCCATCCCTGGTATCAATTGAAATATTTATACCGTATGAACCCCGTATATCATCATGATTGAAGTAAATAGAAGAAAGAATGCAGCAATCAAACATAATATTTGGATGATAAAAAGCCCTAAATTTAATTTTATAATGAGTTTTAAAGTGTTTATTTAATTTTTGTTTAATAACTTTGTTCGTCTTAAGTAATTAGATAAATTGGAGTTAAAAATACAAATAATCCTAACATGTATAATAACGCTCTTCTGGTGACTGCCAATAACTTTCATAATATGTTGGAATGTCATAGCGACCATAAGAATTGTAATTCGGCAAGAGTGTGTTTGCGGCACGATCCTTTTCGTATTTTATTGCGGCTAGTTGCCACCCGAAAATTGACAATTGCACAATACTGTAAATCTATTGTACAGGTTTAGATAAATACTAGAGAGTTTTTGAGACTGAAAAATAGAAGGGATGGAAATGATTAAAGAATATGATTCTGGAAGTGTGAGTGATAACAAAGAATAATAATCTTGCTGGAAATGAATAGTTATTACTAAGTTCCAGAATTTAAAAAATAATAAAAATTCTCATAGAAAATAGCAGGAAAATAAATAGGGACACTTAGAAATTTGTGAATAAATTCTTAGTAAGTAGTACAGATTAACTTAAGACGAACGAAGATATATTTTAACAAAATAAGTAGTTAGTCACCGGTCACCGTCGTGGCTGTCACTAAGCTAATCCCCGTCAAGTGGTGGAGGGGTCCGACAAAACCAAAAGGGAGAGAGCATGCCGCGGCAAAGATCAAAGAGGAGTGGACACTGTCGTGGGGGAGGAGGGGTCCGACAAAACCAAAAGGGAGAGGGCATGTCGCGGCAAAGATCAAAGAGGAGTGGACACTGTCGTGGGGGAGGAGGGGTCCGACAAATGGGAGAGGGGTCGGCAAAGATCAAAGGGAGTAGGCACTGTCGCGAGGGAGGATTGGTAAAATAGAGAGAAGTGTTCACCCAAAACGAGGAGTGAGAAAAATCATTGAGAGTGTGTAATTTGTAAAACATCCGGGTGGCAATAAAATTATGTTAAACCAAACGGGTGAGTGATTAATCGGTGGAGAATGAGTAATTTCAATCCTTCACTGTTGAGGGTGATGATCCATGTACGTTACTAGATTACACCTTTGTAAACATGTACCAATTATCACCTGATTACCCTAGATGTTACTGAGTCAAGTGATTACTCTAGATGTTACGTAAAGTGATTACCATACAGTTCGCGGTGATTATTATATTTTGTATATTTAATGATGATTTGTTAGTGATTACGTTAATTAAAGTGATAGCTGATAATTTATAAAAATTAAAATTCTTTATTTTCAATCCCCAATCCCTAGTTTCCTTTCCTCCCCAAAATTTGACATTTGTTTTTAAACAGAGTTTTCAGAAATATAATTGACCTTGACCTAATTAAAATTTGACCTTAATCCTTTATTAAATTTCAAAATTTTTTAAAATTTTCTCTTTGATGTTGCCGAGATTTTAAATTTATGCAAATTAAACAACCACTTTGAAGATGCCGCCTATATTTTAAAAATTAAAATTTTTATTTTCTCTTTGATGTTGCCGAGATTTTAAATTTATGCAAATTAAACAATCACTTTGAAGATGCCGCCTATATTTTAAAAATTAAAATTTTTATTTTCTCTTTGATGTTGCCGACATTTAAATTTATGCAAATTAAAACTTTTGTTTTGCCTAGATTTCACAATCGAAACCTCTTTGATGATGCCGCCTATATGTATTTCACAATAATTTAATCCTAAAAGTTTTGGCAAAAACTTTCATATAAAAACAAGATTTATTTCTCATTCGCTTCATTTTTAAAAAGTCTAAATAATTTAAATTGCTATTTTTAATTATTAATTCAATTTGCTCCTCATTTTTCTTTATTTTCAATAGGAGCTCTCTTTGCTCCCCATAAAATTTTGCTCTTTTCTTATAGGAGCTCTTTTCATATAGGAGCTCTTTTTTCAATAATGGACTATATTCCTCCAACAAAACGCGCAAGAGCGTTCTTTATTGATAACCTCCTCTCTATTAATCAATCAGGAGGAGGCACTGATTTACAACAATATATTGAACAACTAGAAAATACGACAAAATTCATCGATAAATTCAAAATCACCAAAAATTATTCGAAATTCCTTATTCAGAATATTCCGGCCGACCCTGAGGCCTTATTATCTGGAATATTCGAACACTGCTTCAACGAGGCTATGAACAACGCGAAGAACAATGGACTTGAACCAGAGGAGCTGAGCTGCACAGTAACAAGTGAGTTATTAGATTCTGATATATGGATACCCCTTAGGCCCTCATCACAAAACACCTTCAATGTCCTGCTTAATCAATTTAATAAGGTTTCTCAGAGTAAGAAGCAGGCGGGAGTTACTCTTTGGGGAAAACCCTTTTCAGTTAATGTTATGGTTGTAGATAAGAAGAATTTGAACGAACAAAACAACTTTATCGGTGGAGCTCCTCGAAAACTTGCTCCTATTCATCACCGTATCAAGGAGCAGAATTTAATCAAAATTAACAACAACAACGATGGTTATTGCTTATTTTATTCTTTATTAGCAACACATGTACGTCTCACTGGCAACATGTCTCGTTCTCAATTTTACGACTACATTCATAGTCGTTTTGGGTCAAGAGGACGATTTGAGAAGGAAACTATGGAGCTCATGGAACATGTTGGAGCTCCTTTTGGACAAAAAGAATATGATGCTGAGGAGTGGGTTCCTCCTGTTGTCGACTTCTGGAATGAAATGTATTCAGGCCAGTTTTGTTTTAAAGTTTTTATTTTTGATTGTTTGGGGCATTATAAGCCTTGTTTTAAATATGGCCCCGACAATTATAATTCCCCATTGCTCCTATATTTCGACGGCTCCCATTTCAATGGAGTTACGAGTACAGGAGGGCTCTTTGGTCAACCCTATTGTTTGGAATGTGAAACTGTGTATGAACGTTCTCACCGTCATTCTGCATCCTGTCGTGCTCATTGTTTAAATTGCTCACGTGTTGGTCCGCTTTACCCGTGCCCTCCTAGAAACAACTTTTTTAAAAAGTGTACCGGGTGCTCCAAAAGCTTTAACAACGAGGATTGCTTCAATGATCACCACAATTCGAAAGTTTGCAGGCGTTCCAAGAAGTGCGAAAAATGTGGAGTGATTTGGGACACTGCAGTAAATAGTAAAAATGGAAGGAGTGGGCATGTATGCAATGAGCGCTATTGCTCAACCTGCTCAGGATACCATGACCCTAAGCGCGGATGTTTTATTAAGCCTTTGGAGCCCAAGGAGCAAAAGCCTTACCGATTTGTAGCTTTTGATCTGGAGACCATGCAACATGTCTCCTCAGGTAACAACAAAAGAAAACATCAAGCAAACTTCATAGCAGCGAGAGTAACATGCCCCAAATGCATTGAGGAGGAGCAGGAGCAGTGCAAAGTTTGTGGGAGCAACAGACTTGTAACCTTCTCGGAGCGCCCCTTCTCCAAAACTCCCGTAGATCTACAGAAAGTTACAGAGGATCCCATCATTTCATTTGTCAAATGGATAATTGAATTAACAACAGACTACGACACAATCGCCTTTTCACATTTCGGAGGGAGGTTTGATATGGTAATTGTGTTTAGAGAGCTGTTTCTTCTGGGTTTTACTCCTGAAATGCTGAAGAGGGGGAATAAAATGTATGAGATGAAAGTCAAAGTCGGAAAGAAGAGTATGTTGATCTTCAGGGACAGCTTCAATCTGATGCCAATGTCTTTGGCATCTCTTGTCCCCGCTTTTGCTCTTAAGGTGGAGGATAAGCCTTTTTTCCCACACCTCGTCAACCAGCCTAAAAATTATGGAAAAGAGATATTTCCCATCCCCTCTGACTACTTCGCAGATGGGATGATGCCAGAGAAGAGAAAAGAATTCAATAAATGGTATGATCAGCACAAGGAGCTCCCATTTTACTTGGATGAGGAGTTGGCAGCATACTGTACAAATGATGTGGAAATTCTACTAGCTGCTCTTATTGCGTTCAGACGGGAATTTATGGATGTTACAAAGAGAGCTCCTTGTCAGAGAGCAGCGTCTTCAAAAGCTCACGGAGGCATTGATGTTTTAAGAGAATCAATGACCATAGCCTCAGCATGTATGAATCATTTTAGAACAAATCATCTGAAGGAAAACCATTTAGCTCTTGTTCCGGAGAAAGGCTACGATAATGTTGATAATCAGAGCCGCCTTGCTCTCAAATTCATGAAATGGTATGAGGAGGATCATGGAGTGAAAATTCAAACTGCTCATTCTGATGGAGGGGAGAAGAAGGTTGGTAACTTCAAGTTGGATGGATGGATTGAGGAGGAGCAATTAGGAATAGAGGTGAATGGCTGTGTGTGGCATGGTTGTGAGAGATGCTACTCGGAAGACAACACTATCCTCCCTAATGGATTGACAGCAGCAAGGCAGCGGGAGAAGGATGCAAAGAGGATGGAGTACATCAAAAGTCAAGGAGTAAAAGTGCAAGTCTTCTGGGAGTGTGAAATTAGGAGTATGATGGAAAAAGACAGGGAGATGAGGAGCTCCTTCAAAAAGTACTTGGATGATGGCCCAATTGATCTACGGGCATGCTTCTTTGGAGGACGTACAGGTCCACTTCAACTCTTCTACTCACCAAAAGAAGGAGAGAAAATATCATACTATGACGTCACCTCCTTGTACCCATTTATCAATGTATCTACAAATTATCCAGTGGGGCACCCGAAGGTACATATTCTCAACGAAGAGGTTCACTGGAGCAAGCCGGAGGACAACATATACAAATTGGCAATATTGAAAGTCTTTGTCATCCCTCCGAGGAGCATTGATATTCCTGTGCTCCCAATGAAAGTA